TGGTAATGTCAGGTAAGAGTGGGTAGAATGTCGCTCAGGGGAGTTGTGAATGTGTGTGTGTGTGTGTGTGTGTGTGTGTATGTATGTGTGTATGGGGCTGGTCTGTAATGAGTCCCTGTAGTCTGGAGTGCTGCTGACATTTCCACTCTTGCCTGAGAGTTAATGAGGTACTCAGGCCTTCACTGCTAGCTCACCGCATGCTGCACGTGATGCTCTTTACAGTGCCAAGCACACACAACCTCCATTACCAACCGCAGAAAGCTTGCCTAGATGAATATTGCTCTTCTGTGCAAACTTCACTGGAAAAAGCTGTCTTAGAGGAATTGTTCACCTGATAATGGTCATCTCTGACACATCTTACAAATCTGAATTGATAATGTTATGAAAGTCTTTTCAGTTGTTAAAATGAAATGGAAAGACTTTGTTTCTTGCATTAAATATTTGGAATAAAGAACATTTTCAGTATATTTTTTTATTTTCTTTTTCCAAATAATTCAGATTAGCTGCAGTACAAGCTACCGAGGAACTTTTTTTGTGTATATAAACTATTATTATTATTTTTTTTTTAAAGAAGTGTTTTCCTACATGCTTTTTGGAAATAGATTGTATTTCATTTGGAAAAAAAAGTGTCAAGAAGTACTTGGGCAGGTTTGTTTCTTACTTGGGTATAACAAGACAGAATGTTTAGATGCCACCTTCTATGTTTTTTTCTGTTTAATTTTATTCATGGTTTACTTGTGGCACTATGGGTTGGAGGTTTGGGGCATGTATTCACCTTATTCTTTACCGACGAGCGGGCGCTGCCATTTGAATCTTTTTGGCTCGAGACTTCCGGTCTCATACACTTCCATTCATTTTTAGACGTTAAAAACTGTTCGTTACGCTGCTTGATGTTGTAAACTGACATTTTCTTATTGGTCTGTATAGTTATGCATTCATTTGTTTGTAGAGCAAGTAGTTTGACCGTTTCTGCCGTTTATTATCCCTAGTCATTTCTCCCATAGGTGACTAAATTGGAAGTTCTAAAACAATCAAGAAAACAGGCTCACTTCTGCATTTTAGAATATGGTCTGTAGGGGAGTATATTTGATCATGATAGATCAAGAACAAAACATGCACTTAAATCACAAATACGCTTTATGAACGTACACTGTATAGACATCACCTATATACTACATAACTGCAGGTTAACTGCAGTATGTTTATATATACAGGGCTCGAAATTAACTTTTTTACTTGGTAGCACCGGTGCTCCCAACTTCAAATATTTAGGAGCACCAAAAAATTTTTAGGAGCACCAGAAAAAATTTAGGAGCACCCACCAAAAATGAATGAGCACCGCTGCAAATTGTTTTTTAAGGGATTTATTGTATTTTAAAACAACATTAATAGGACTGACAAAAACCAGAAACAACTATCTAACTAATGCTGCGAAGACATTGATATTTGTGTGCAATAATTCCAAAATGAATGTCTAATAATTAGGCCATAGAATATTAATGATGATAAAAAATGACAATAATAGTAACAATGAATTTCATTTCTCATTATGATACTGCCTTGAATGTGCATGAATGTAGGTTATCTGCTATAAAAAGTCTGTTACTTTATGAAAAATAATTGTATAGTTTGCATCAAACAAAAATGAAGCATTGCAGTAAGAAATATTTATTTTGTACTGCTGTTTTTATATGCATGTCAATTTAATAAATAATATTTCTGCTACAAAACAAACAAAAGATTATAATAAATCATTCAATTCAATGATGAAAGCTGCAAAGCAGTCATCAGTAAATAAATAAAAAATAATATACACCTCAAAAAAGAATAGACAAAAGAAAGTAGCCTAAGTAAAGTCTCACTTCTATCACTCTTTAAAAGTTTTGGTTTCAGTTTGTGTCAATTTAAAGGTTCAGTCTGAGATGATCTTCATTTTTCTGTGTTAGTGGAAAAGCTGGCGAGTCAGCCGACCCAATTTATGAGCAGGCAGAGCAGGATTCTTGCGCTAACTATCGGCGCAATACCGGTCTTTGTTATGAGCCGCAGTTTCAGTGTAAACTTAGTAAAGGCGAGCTTCTTTGGCGATGATGTGTTTAGTATTAGATTTGACTTTTAGCGGACATTTGCGCTGAACACGCAGTAAATGCAACGCATCGAGATTCGGGCACCTTCTCCAAGAAGCGCGTACTCGATTGATCTCAGCTGGCGGATCATTATTCACCACGTGACGTGTCATGATCGCTCTCATCTGCGCCTCAACTTTAAACCTGTGTGCTTTAAGTTTTCACTCTTCAGCTGTTTGCATTTCCCGTGGTCATAAAAGCTCCTTCCCTGTCATCTGACAGCGGAATACCTTGAGTGAATGACAGCTAATATGAACCAATATAGCGGCAGGGAAGAGCGATTCAGCACGTTTTTACAAAAAATCAAAACAGGTCGCACTACAACCATTATCTGCAGTCGCACTAATGCGGCCAAATATATTATGAGGTCGCATAGATTAATTTTCGGGCGCATATGCGACCAAAATGGTCGCAATTTCGAGCCCTGATATAGAAACTTTAACTGTTAAAAGCTATTAGTTACTAGTTAATTTAAGTTATTAATAACTGAAAGTGTAACTGAGGCAAGCTAGCAGAGTGCTATGCAGGCAAACCTCACTCCTCTGATTTAACTTGTAAAAACCCTATAAACATAATGTTCAATATTGACTTTTTCGCAACTTACACAGTGTCCTAACAACACACGGCGCCATTAGATTCAAGCGTCCAACAATTTTGGCTGTCTGCACCAAATGTGACATGACAGAAACATTTAAGTGCCAGCCACTGCACTCCTAACAAAATGGTTAAGGCTTTTAATCTAATACATATTATTCTTCTTTAACATTATAAACAGGCTAACGTTACCAGGTGACTGAAGTTGTTGGAGTCACAGTTCTGACTTTCATTTTCAAACCGTCTGCTAGTTATTTTATTTTAAGGATCTGAGGTGAACTCTGCTGCTGCTTTCAGTAGTGTGGCAATAAATCTCATGAAAATTTTAATTTGAACTCACATTGGTTTCATTTAACACTGAAAAAAGCACATAATCTGTACCTGAGGTGATCATTGCCATACCAGTATATGCTGTTGTTCTGCCGCAGTCGCAGAAATAGAAAGCATTTCTAAAATAGAAATTTTGCATGTCAACGTTGCAGATGGTTAGGACAAAAACTCCTTTTAACATGGAAATGATGGCTTTTATTGGTTAGTATTAGGTGTTGTTACAACACAATGTCAGAGCAAACAAATTAAAGAGTAAACGTGGTCTGTTTAGTCGCGTGTATGTGTGAGGGAGAGTTGTGGGTAAAGATAATACTCTTGCTCTTGACGGCAAGACACTGTTTTTGTTAGTAAATCTATCATAGTCATACTAGTCATGCATTTGACTTCTTTTTTGCGTTTTTTTACTGTGTTGAGTGCATATATTGAAGCCATTTTAGAATGTATGCACACCTATGCATTTCTGTGACGTTTTATTTTTATTTCAGTATCCCAAAATTTGCATAAAAATACTTGGCTCTTAGTATAGTTAATATAAATTGAGATTTTGCCCGTTAGAAATTGGATCATGGGGTTATTGTTGTTTGTACTTCTGTGATTGACAGATTGCCCCAACTTGGAGCCAGTGTACACATAACAGAGAAAAGATGTTGTTTCTAAAGGGATGGGAAGTTATTTTGATTAAAAATGATGAGGGAAATTAAAAAGGATTCCCTAAGGCCAGCTTGATTCAGTCATGCCAGGGTCATCTGGAATTGAAACACTGTGTTAACAAGAAGGATGTTCGTTGTCCAGATTGGCCGGTGATAAGCCAGTCTGGTAAACAGACTTCAACCGCTGTTATCTTGCTGTTAACTCGACAACACAAAATATATTTATTGGTTTTTGTTTGAACTTCAAGACTAAAACATAGCAAATAATTTAAATATAAGTGTTGCATGCAGAACTGTAGCAAACTATTTATTTGTGTTGAATTTAAACAAACAAATACAATGTAATAATGTTCAACTTAATTTGTTTGTTTAAATTCAGCTCAAATAAATTGTTTACAACTACTTAACGTAAAAAAATTGAGTAAATCCAAGGAATCATCTTTGAATAATTTTTTTCAGTGTAAGCTTATTCTGAAACATTGAAACCTCAATAATCAAACGACAAATAAAAAGGTGGATAATAAACAAATACATTAATTCTATAAACTATAATACAAATAAAAAGAATAATAACATAACATTCAATACCCATTATTGGACATGACATTTCACAGCTTTTGATAGTTAATTAAGTTAATACATTATTCTGCTTGAATATAAGAAATCTGAACATTATAAAACACTGTAAAATTCATTTGACAGCTTAAAAATGTTGAGTGTTCGACTTTTTTTGAAATGCAGAAAGGGAGTTCATATTTTATGAATTTCCCTGTTAAAATTTCCCTTTAATAATATAAATCAGATTTTCCAGAGCAAGTTTACCGGTCACAAGTCCACTAACCTACCGGATAATCTTAAGTCTTTTTCCACCTTAAAGCAATAACTATAGCAAAAATGTATTTTAGTTTGCGCTTACTCGTGTTCGGATTTACTGGTTGCATATGGAACAAGCATAATTAGGGAAGCAGAGGTATTTTGTCTGTAGTTAATGTACCAAGCATTAGAAGGATCTATTTCCAAAATCTTTGAATCTCATTGCACTCCCATAGTTTATGCTACAAGTTTGCTGCTAATGTTTGAAATTTATGTTAGCTAGCTTTTCATAAAATAATAATGATCCTAATTATGACCCAAAAAGCACAATGTGAGTCTTCTGATCCATTTCACCCCTAGTAAACTAAACATTTTAATAAATGCTGAATTTGTGGTCACAGAAATGGCAGGTTTTGTTATAATGTATGACAAAAGATTAGTAATACTGAGCGGTAAAATGTCTAATAATAAACTGTTTAATGATTTGCAGATGACTCTGGCCATCAGTGGAATCAGTTACCCCTGTCATCATCTGACCGTGTGCAGAAGATCTTCTCCTGCGCTCACAGTGGATCAGACAGATGAGGTAAAGCACCACAATGCACAAACGGGTGCATTTTTACACATTTTTTAACCACTGCAAACTTATTTTTTTTTAATTATTTAAAATAAAACCAACTCTTTCTCTCATATTTCTTATCTTCATCATTTTAATTTCAGCTGTTTTTGTTTTTAGATTTTTTAACATATTGAAAGCCAGCATGTGGTGTCAGTTTTGGCAATTCTAATTTTTTGTGGGATTTTTAATTAGACTGCTCTCTGCCCAGCCAAAATGGATAAGCGATTGCCATTTTTATACTTTAATGAGAAATTCGATGTTGGAATAGAATTGCAGTCCGTGTCTGAATTGATGAAATAACGGGCACAGTGATCGCTGTCGAGTTGCCAGCCGTCACTCTGCAGCCAGACTTGCCCCTGTGTTTCAAATCTGATGGCAACCTTTCAACACATTTGCAACTATTGCATCCCATGCACCATTCCTATTAGGTTCAGTCCCTGTTGAAGAATTCAAATAGGAATAATTTTATGAATTAGGATACTCAATAAACTATTAGAAACACTTATTAACATACCAAAAATAAATAAATAAATAAATAAAAACCCTGGCCTCTTTGGACCAAGTATCATTTGATGGCATATTAAACAAAGGGTTGCAGTCCAGCCTTGAATGCTAATGTCCCAATGAACTAGATTTTACCATTTTGTTTTTAATAATGTAAAACAAATTACAATTTGATATGATCTCTTGGTGCAGGTCAAAATATGTTGTTTTATTTTTACATAAGTTTGTTACATTGAAGCTAAAGCCTGGTTTGTTTTTCTGAGTCAAGTGACCCACGGTGCATGCCTTGCGTGTTGTCGTGCATTTATACTTCTTCGCACTGTTTGTGTTGCTCTGCAATAACACTTTTAAAACGCTAGCTGGCAGTGAGGTTTTTATGTTCTTCTGTGTCAAGTAGCTTATTGTACTAGTAGCTCAAAGTTGCTCATTTTGAGGCGGGAAATGGCAGACCTGCAACAACTTTAATCATAAGGTAAACACAAAACAAAACTTTCCATCTGGACCTCCATCAGGGGACTAGACACTTGTAATCGCTTGCTCCAACGGGTTTGAGAGGTGCACGGGAGCATATGTGCGTGGTTGACGCAGAAGTATAAATCAGCCTCAAGCAGCCCTGCGCCAAGTCAGCACATGTATGGTAGACCACATGAGAAAGCTAGGTTGCTCCTGGAAGTGGTGTTCGTGAGGCCAGCATAAATCACTCAACCTGCGGTCTGTGTGGGTCTTAATGACCCAGTATAGTGATGGGGACTCTATACTGCTCAGTGAGTACCGTCTTTCGGATGAGATGCTAAACCAAGGTCCTGACTCTCTGTGGTCGTTAAAGATCCTAGGATGTCCTTGAAAAAGAGTAGGCGATTAACCCCTGTATCCTGGCCATAATTTGCCATAATTTGCCCATAACTAGCCCCTGTCCATCATGGCCTCCTAACCATCCACATATCATAATTGGCTTCATCACTCTGTCTCCACCAATCAGCTAGTGTGTGCGGTCTGGTGCAATATGCTTCATTGCTTCATCCAGGTGGATGCTACACACTTGTGGTGGATGAGGAGATTTACCCCAATGTGTAAAGTGCTTTGAGTTTCCAAAAAGCGCTATATAATTGTAAAGAATTATTATTTTTATTGAATATTATTTCACTCTTATTTTTACGCATATTTACTCGCATTTATTATGCTCTAGGAAAATAGAATCACTTTTGTAAGTTTACTTTGATGCAGACACTAAAATGCCTTTGCCCCAAACAAAAGTTATATAAGGGTAAGAACTTAAGGTTTAATTAACTTTGGATATGCTTTACCACCTACTTTTTATAAATGTTTGACGGAAATGGTTGCTGCTCTTAAGCTTGAAAGAATTAATTTTGCTAGGGCAGATGATTCTAAAAAGTTAGAAAAAATCCGGGGCCTTTTCCTTGCTTTTCTTTTTAAGAGTTAAAAATTGGGCGCTTATGATTCATGGACAATTTCATTCTTTCTGTTTCGTTTCGAGTATAATCTAGTAAAACTTAATGGTACAGTATAAATTATTTACTCTATATGGTGCAGATTTGGATGGTCTGGTGTCACTTTTTTTTAAGTCACTTATTTAAATATTATAATTATTTTTTCTTTATCATTTGTATAAAAGCGTATTATAGATTGTATAAATGTTTTTTTGTTCTGCTTTGTATGCATAAAAAAGGTTATAAATAGAATTTAAAAGATAATTTAAAAAAAGAAAGAATAAAAGCAGGAATAAAAAGGAAAGAATCCAAAAAAAACAACAACTTTTGATATGCTTACGAGGCAGTAATATCACAAACTTTTGCAGCAATGTCACAAACTAGCCTATATTGAACTCTGTTATTTCATATTCTCTAATATTTAATATATATTTTTACATTTTACTTAATAACCTTTTTTTATTTAATTTTATTTTAAGTATTTTTTTTTCAAATAGCTAATGGCAGATTAAAAAGATATTTTTTTTTGTTTTATTTGGTTGTATATTTAGGTATTGTTGAAAGCTGGCTTTATTATTAGATTTTTTGTTGTTCAAATGGTCCTCTTTAAGAAAACTGTGTGTTCCAGTGCACAGATGTCCACATGGTCAGTGACAGCGAGGGCGATGATTTCGAAGATGCACCTGAATTTGGCGTAGACGAATCAGAGATCTTTGGCATGGGGAGCTCGAGTTGTCGAAAGTCTCCAATGAGTAAGTTATAATACTGCATCATTTCATCTGGCGCCGGCATTAACTATGGATCTGTTTTCATAAATTCTTCTATTTTTTTTTAGTGCCAGAGAACAGTGAAAATGAGGGTGATGCCTTACTGCACTTTACTGCTGAATTTTCTAGAAGGTGAGATCCCAGTACAAAACAACATTTGTAATCCAATTTCACTAAAGAAAACCAAACATTTCTTTGTAGTTCAGAGGAGATGGCTTGTGTGCACATTTTTCCGTCCAGCTTTAATGTTTGAAAGTAGCTTTTCTGATACGTGTTATTTACTCAGTATCTGCACACTTAGATTTGCTTTATGCGTGAATGTGTGTTTTGTAGATATGGCGATTGCCATCCTGTGTTCTACATCGGCTCCTTGGAAGCAGCATCTCAAGAGGCCTTTTACGGCAAAGCCAGAGATGTGAGTATAATGTGGCTATCAGTAAATGTATTCATCTTTTTAAACATATGACTGCTGCGTTAACTTTTAAATTGTGGTTTTGGGAAAAAAAATCTGTCTGTCTGTCGATCGATCGATCGATGGTTCTATTGTTGCATCCATTGTTCTATCGCTCTGTCTATTGTTCTTTCTATCTGTCCATCTGCAGTAGGTATGTTTGGTATTGTGCTTGATTTTTATCCTGCACGATAATAACTCTATGCTTGGTGTTTTAAGGTGACATTAACACCAGTGTCATGTCTGTGATCAAAGCTCTTTTGAAATTGGTTTATTTCGTATTCCATATTTCAAACCAATATAAATTTTGTCTCTACAATTGTAATACGTTTTTGTAATTACATTTATATCTCTATAAATGCACTGTTGACCATCCCTTACACTTTAACACACTCTTAAACTTACAAATACCACCCAAATTTTCCCCAGCCTTACCCATGTCCCATCTCAATAGCACTAGAAGTGTTCCATACATAATACAATGTGAACAAATGAAGTACATTATATTTATAGTTTGTAAGTAGTTAAGGACACATACTGTAATATAAAATGGAACCCAGTTTACTTTTGTTTACAGTTTAATGGAGGTGTAATAATTAATTCCTGTAATAATTCAAGCGTAGGAAACAAGTGGATAAGTTATATTTTTATTTTATTTTATAAATTTTCAATCTGAGGTGGTCTTGGATAGGAAAAACTAAAGAAGTTGAAATCAAATTGACCCGAACACGATTCCAGAAACCTCTCTCGTCTGCATGTAAGCACATACGCGAGCAGGTCACGTATCCAACATTTCTTCCAACAGTCATACACCCAGGCACATAAACAGCGCTAAACGTTTGATTGGCAGAACTGGCCCCCCCATCTCGATAAATCCCCATCAAATTTCCGTTTCCCATTTGAACAGCTGAAGCTTTATTTAGAACAGCTTTGCGCTGGTTTTCCCGCTGTGTCCTCATAAGGAGGCTTGTATCAACTGACAGCTTGTGTGGATTACAGTCTTATTAGACTGGGAGGATGCAGCAAGATGTTCAGGGGGTTTTTGAGCATGAGGAGCGGGCTGGAATGGCTTCTTGCCTGCAGCCCAGCTGATCTCCTCTTCTCCTCAGCACAGGCACAATATGGCCGCCGCCTCCCTCGAGGAGACAGTTCAGTGTGTCAGTTAAAACAAACTAGCAGAAGAAGAAAAAGAGATGACCTGCTGTGTTCTTCTCATGCAGACAGTCAGTGTTTTCTTCACAGGTCACACATTTTCACTCGTTTCTCCATGTGCGCTGCTTTAGTATGTCATTCGCAGTCAGTTGAAATGTTTTCCTTTTGGAGCTCAGCCAAAGGAATCGTCTTGAGGAAAGATTTAATGGGGCATATTTAAAGGCATGCGTCATTAAAAAGTACTTACTACCTCCCAAATTAATGGGAGATGAATAGATATTTTTAAATTTGGGGAACATTTCAGCTGGGAACATTGTTCCGGGCCCTGCAAAGTCTCAAATGACTTGTGAAAATATTTTTAGTTAAAGTTATAATAAGTACTAATTTGTGCTGTGGATAAAGATACGATGATGTCATTTCTGATTACTGACGTCACTCCAGACTGTAAGTTCTACCTGAAGTGATGCAAGAGGTCAGTTGTACAATGTTGAAAGAAAGAAAGAAAGAGAGAGAGGGAGAGAGAGAGAGAGAGAGAGAGAGAGAAGGGGAAACTTGGAGGAGAATGAAGAAATATTTGATTCTTTGTTTCTGCATACAAACCATTCATTAATTAGACTTTAAAGGTAACACTTTAGTATAGGGAGCAATTCTCACTATTAAGTAACAGCTTATTACTTGAGTATTATATATTAAATTCAATTCATGTTTATTTGTATAGCACTTTTTACAATGTAGATTGTGTCAAAGCAGCGTAATATAGTTCAAGTAAAGTCCAGATTTCAGAGTTCAGTTTAGTTTAGTTCAGTGTAGTTTAAATTTTACTGCTGAGAGTTCAAACACTGTAGAGCAAATTCACCGAAGCGCTGCTCCACAAGTCCCAATCCAAGCAAGCCAGTGGTGAGGCAAAAAAAAAAACTTCATCAATTGACGAAGTGAAGGGGAAAAAAACCTTGAGAGAAACCAGGCTCTGTTGGGCACGACCATTATTCTTCTGGTCAAACTTCCTGTGTGGAGCTTCAGTCTAGGTGCCTAGAGGGAGGAGAAGCTGGATTATTAAGATACTGATTGTTTATTAGTACTTATAAAGTACATATTCTGCAGGATTTAAATCCACATCCCTAATTCTTCCCAATATCTAAGCCTAACTACAACCTTAATAACTATTTATAAGCAGCAAATTGGGATTTTATTGAGGCAAAATTCATAGTTAATGGTTAGTTAATTGTGAGAATAGTACCTTAAGTTTGACCAAATTTAATTAGACACTTTGTGATATTATTGGGAATTTTAATGCATTTCTACTAATGAACATTACTTTCGCGTCAAATAATTGTTCAGTAACATGTTTAAGTACTAATTCTTACAGTTGATTGTTACCAATATGAATATATTGGCTGTTTGTTTATAAAGTACATATTCTGCATCTCTACTAAATCTTACCAAATACTTAAACCTAACTAATAACTACACTAGGAAAAAGTTTTCATTCATCCAATTAAAAAAAAATAAATAAATAAAAAATAATATGGTAATGGTTCACGTCTAAATTCTATTACTTGAGCCAATGAAAAATAAACAATTTGCCTTTAACAATATTTTCAATGTCTATGAAAACAATTTTTATAGAAGCTGGTACAAAGCATATTTGTCTTGTTGAAGAAAGTCAGTAAATTTTAATAGTCTTTTTGCTCTAAACAAAAGGATATAAAATTCCCATAAAACTTTCATTCATCCAATTAAAAAAAGATACAACATCTACTTACACGATGCTCCAACGAGAATAGAAAGAGAAACGATTCTTCCAATGCTTCAGATCATGCAGTCAGATGAATCACTTGATTGGCTATTTACAAATAACATCGTAAGAAACGAGTAGGCAGTATTATTACTTGGTCTCGCCTTACTTGTGTGTGAACTTATTGTAATCGCCTCACTTGTGTGTGAACTTATTTTAAACTTGTTACATTTTCTGACATTGCACACTCCTAGCCTCACAACTACAGCAGGGAAGGGCAAAACACTTTCAGCTCAGCGTAACATTAAAGCATTTGTGTTTATTATCAACTTAAAATGTAAGTACAGTATACCAACCTTCAAACTGGTAACTGGGGCGTTGTGTGCGATCCATGAAATGTTGACTAGAAAAGCTGGTGGTTGGTCGAGCTTGTGTTTAATACGAATGCATATGTGCATATTTCTTAGTCGAGTTCTTAATCAAAAATATTATTATTTACCTATGTTTTAAACTTAAAATATATTACTTTAAAGAATAAAACAAAAATATTGAATTTACAATAGTAGTAGTTAAAGTAAGCTATGTTGTTAAACTAAACTGTGGTCACACAATTTATAAATGCTGCATTCTTGTGCCATTTATGCCAAATTCATGTGAACGTTCCTCTTTTTTTAATATTTCAAATATTTACTAGTATAGTAAATATATGTGGCCCATGATTTAAAGGATCAGCCTGTTATAATTTAAAATCAATCAGTGCTGTACAAAAAATGTCTTTGTTTTTCATAGATATACTACTTTCAACAGCCCATGTATGCTTTAGTCATGCTAAGACAAGTTACCTGTTCCTTCAATCGCTTGTCATTTGAAAAAAACAAAAGCAAGATGCATCTGTGCTATGCACATATTCTGCATGCTTTCCATTATTTGCATTTTGTAAGTTGCCTTGGATTTCAATTATTTAAGTCACTTTTGCACTTTGAGCTATTTATATTTCTAAAAATATAGTAGCTCGACAGCAGTCTGACAGACCACCATTTAAAATGAAATAATCCATTTACAACACTGCTTGAGCCAGTGTGTTCGCCACCTTTCAGTCAACTGATCTTAATAAATATGTATGTTGTTTAGCTGTGGCTTTGATGGTTCCATGTGCGCGTGTTCATGTGTTGGGTGGATTTTTCTGAGGACACTTGTGACCCTCTCTCATAGGCCTGAGAGGCTAATCACTAAGTAAAACACTACATTTGATGAAGTGTTTCTTGAGTGGGAGATGCACCCAATCCGTCCTTAATGAAAATACCAGGGGCCCTGGAGTTCATCCGGAGGATCAGTGGAAGACTCTTGAGTCAGGCCACCCATCAGCACCCAGGCCTCATCACAAATCCCCTTAACATCCAGCTAATCGCACTAACCCTTCTCTGCCACCCGTACAAAGATGCCCATCAAAATTCATAGCACCTTCATGGCTTTTTCATGCATGAGCTTCATGGTGAAGCCTTGTGGCGAAAGCAACTTTTCAGCATGTCAGTAATAAAAACACGGAGAAATGAGTTTTCAACAATCCAATGATTTTAGGTTATTGACGCTGCTTTAGTGACAGGGGAAAAGAGAAAAATTGTCTTTCTTTAAACATTGATTGAATTAATTTATTGAGGTGTCAATAGAGTTTAGTAGACTTCTATGTGTTTTTCATACAGAAATGTAAACTGCCATTATTTATTCTCTTTCACGTTGTTATCAACCCCACATTACATTTTGTTTAATGAAACAAAAGATGATTTTATTATTATTTTTTTTATGAAATACACTTGGTACTCTTTTCTTGGCTTTCTAATAAGACTCACACACTTGTTACTTGTTCAAACAACTTAAAATTAACTTGCTGAAAAAATACAATTCTTTAATTTTTGACAATTTTTGGTTTTGTGTTCAATTTACTTAAATTTGAAAAATAAAATAAGCTTACTTGATCAGTGTGTGTTGGAACAATTTAAAGAATTGTGTTGCTGTAACTACATGTGTTGCGTTTCCCAAACAACGACGTAACTCGCGGCTGAACTATCATAGTACGATG